GACCAGAGCATTTTCTGTTCCTGCTTATCAGAAAAGGAGAAGTAGAACTACTCACTGTGCAACTCTTCATGCAAACGCTACTGCTTTTTTACCCCCCCCCCCCCCAATTAATTGATTTATGATCCGACTGAAAAAGAAGTGGTAAGTAGGGATTTTATTAAATTACTTATTACTCACTGGAAGAGTATGAAGCTGCAAGTGAACCGTATTTAACTGTTCCAAGACATAAGGAAAAGGGCAAATGGCCAACTCTTCAGAAGCTTAAATCATAACCTTACAGTTGTAGTGTTGCCTCATGTTGCTGGGTGCTGCAAAAATAGTCAGATTAACCATTCAAACGCCTGTGCACTGTGATTAAACAGCAGCAGATAAATTGTTGAATAAATTATTCAAATAATTAAGTGTTTGAGTTCTGCTAACTGTACTTGAAATATTAAATAACTTTTATTAGTGATCTCAACCCTTTTCTTTATTGATCATGAGTTGTTGCTGTTTTTGTAGGCTTGTGCTGCTTTCACCCAGGCATCTGCCGCCTTTACCATGAAAGCAATGGTGTTTGTGGCCAGGAAAAGCACAATTAATGCGTATTGGACATACATAGCCATTGTGGATTACGTAATTTTGTGTCGTAATAAGTGAGGAGGGATTAGGAAAATTCTGCTGTACTGGTAGCATTTTATAGCAGTGCAGACTGGAGAGGTTTTCAGCTAGGTAACTTTGGAAGTAAAAAGAGCAACTGTTAGTGGTGATCAGAAGTTATAGGATCAGAGGCCTTGTTTTAGGCACTTTTGACTACTGCTCCTGCTCTAAGTGGTGTTTTGTGACTCTAGTTGACCATGGCAATAGTCACTGAAGTCCCCCACTTCAGGAAACCCAGCAGAAACCTTTTGCTCAGTACTTTCTTAGATTGCTGCTGTTACTGATTTCAGCACAACTTGATGGGCAGTGATTCCATGGGTTTCCCCTGCGTATTCCCCTTGTTTTGTAGGGACAAGCCGCTAACCCATAAAGTTAGTGACTCTCCTTCATTAAGTGATACGGCATGCATTCCGTTGCTGCTTTCTTTTTTTTCTTCTATTAAACTTCTCAACTCTCCTGTCGCACAGTTCCTAAGGATAACTTGTATGATGTAGCGTTTGCTGTGATTTAGAAAAGGTTATCTATGGATAGGCTTCAGTCAGTGGCATGTGGTACTGACAGCTTAAACTCCTCCTTAACATAAATTCGAAACTCCCTAAAACAGTACCCTTATTTGTTAACTTACGGCTTGAGGAGCAACAGAACTGCTTTCAATAGAGCGTCTGATCCGCCGCCTTGGTGCGTGGCAGCACTGTTGCTGGGAGGATCTGCCTGTGAAAGTTCAGATGCAGTTCTGCCTTGTTCGCCTCCTGCATGGCCTATAAAAAGTGGTTTTGAGGAAGTGAAGAAAAGAGTGAGGAACTAGAAACTTTTAAGAGTGATTTTTTTTCCTCCCTTTTCCTTTGGGGAAAACTTGTCTGGTGCACACACTGTATCGGGTCTGAACTTCAGTGCAAAATTTATAAATCTTGTGTCAAAAGTTATCAAGAGATTAATTTGGAGTCTCCTGCTCAGGCTGCACTACGTAATTCTTCACAGCAGCTAAGCTGTGAAGGTAAGGAAGGAAGGCAGGAAGAAATAAATGAATGCAAAAGGGAAGTGTGCGTTTGTGTGTTGGGGGGATGTGACTGGAGAAGCTGAAAGACGAGAGTAAAGTCAGAAACGGTAAAACTTTGTCATGCTTTACTCGCATTCGTAAGAAGTAGTATCCACTAGAGCAATGCAGGTAAATTTCCGTAAATGTGTGTTCACATGAACTGCCTGAGAGCTCCTGGTTAAGATACCATGGCGCTTAATGCTGCGGGAGTGGCATGCCACTGCCTCCCAAGAGATGGCAGAGACAAAGACAGTGACAGGGTTTATGTTAGCAGTCACTGCAGGGCCCCTTGGGGCAGTATTTCTAAAAGCGCTTACTGACCAGCATTGAGGGGAAAAGGAAAGGTGGTTGTTCCATGTCACTTCTCTGCTAATATCTATCTATTTATTTATTTATTTATTTATTTCACCACAGCTGATAGGGATTTTTTCCAGAAAAATTAACAAGACAAAAGATCAGTAATTATCTTGATGCTTATTTATCTTTAAGCACTTTTGAACTGCATTTACTGAGTGTAGTTCGTAACTGTATATTATGAATTCACTCTCCACCAAAGCATGGCCAGCTGCCTGATGAAGGAGAGTGAGAACAAACATGTGTCAGTGAAGACGTGAAGAAACCTGTATTTCTAATGAAAAATGTCCTTATTCAGAATATCATTAGTGCAAATGAAATTTGAGTAGTTTACACTTTTCACAGAAAGAAAAGAATGATTTGGAATTTGCACTGACGGTTATTCAGGAACTTAAATGTCTCTTGTAAGAGACTGCATCACTGATAGCGTTGGTGGCATAAAGCTAGGGGAGGACTTTAGCTGAACGACTGTTCTTTGCCACAGTATGATTTCCTTTCTTGGATGTGTCTTGAGCTCCTTAAGCTAGGAGGTGCAGTGGAGGTAAAGCGAAAGATGAAATTATGTCTTTGATATCTTCATAATAATTATCAGTTATGTAACTTGGTTACATGTGATGTGTAATAAATCTCTTCTTAGGCAGTTGTGCAAATTACTTTCTTCCAAATGTGTTCTGCAGTGCTGGTTTTGCGCGTTCCCCTAAGGATATATTTGATTATCTTTTACTGAGAAGTACACTGCTGCTTGATGTAACCATGTGAATTGTGTGGTTCTAGTTATTTTCTGTGCATTTCTTTTTGTCCCTTGTAGGTTTATCCAGATGAGTCATATCCCAGGTTTGTCTCCTCAGATGGTTTGGCAGCTGTACTGGCTTTCTCTTGAGAATAACTTATTAAATTATAAAGATGCTTTTCAAGGCATCTTTTTTTATACTTTATTAATCTCCCGAGTGGTACACTTATCTGCCCTGTTTGACATTGTGTTTTAGATGTGAGGGTGATTTGCATCTTCTCGTGACAATTTAATAAAACAATGCTTGCTAATCTGAACAGCCTTGCAATCAGAGTTTTCAAAGATCAGTTCTTGCCTGTGTTGGCTAACCTACTGACTATGCAAGCTTGCTAGTTTCCAGAGGGATTTTGAGATTCATAAACCGTTTGAATTTTGATTTCTGAACGCTGTTTTTAACTCTTTCAAAGACAGATTATTTCCTTGCATCAATTTTGGAATAACCACAGTTGAGACACTGCGATAAAGTTTTTTTGTTTGTTTGTTTTCTGTGAAAGCATAGGCTGAGGAAATACTACTGCATACTACATGCACTACTGCATGCTCGTTCTGTTCTTTTTCCTCTTCTCAAGGTATCTGCTTTGCTTGATGGTTTTGGTCGTGTGGGGCTTCTCGGGGCAAGGGTGAGAAGGCTCCTTTGGAGACGATAACGTTGGAGCGATGTGGGGAGTGGCTTGACTGAGGCCTCCTGATTTGTCTCTCAGCTCCGAAAAAGCTATTTGATCTCACCTGGTACAGCCATTCCTGTGACACAGACGTTGCAATGGTTTTATGGGTTAATACCATTACAGCAAAGCTGTTAAAACAGTTGCCTGAAGAGCTACCGCGGAGCTTCAGAAAGCAGGCTTAGAAATAGGTCAAGACTCCAGCTGAGCTCTGGTGGAATTATGACGCATAACTAGTGCTGGCAAGAGTGAAGTTTTCCGGTTATTTTCTAATCTTGTGATTGTGCAAGTCTGTCTTGCTGTGCCCAATTATTTTTAAGTGTGTATTCTTTGTCCTAGGAAACTATTTTTCTGTCTTGAAACCCCATGTCCGTGATTAATTTGTCAGTGTTTTCACTTTCAATGTTGCCAGGCCCCGGTTATTTCTTCCTCTATCATATATGCTCGCTCATTTCTCTCCATCCATTAAGTTTAATTTTCATCTTTCTCTTTGTAGTTCCTGCACCAACATAGTGCAGGATCCCTTCAGGAACAAGGGATCAACAAAATCACTTTGGGAAATGCATTTTGTGTTTTTGTGTCATGCTTCCCCGGTGTCAGTTTTTGATCTAAAGCATCGTTTCCATTCTGCCTCCCAGCTGAGACAGATATTTTGGATATCTCTGGAGCAAAGCGTAAATCACTTTCCATGGGCAAACATCTAAATATTCGTTTACAGTTTAATTCTTCGTTCTGCAGGATTATTTTAAGTCTTGGCTTTCAGAAGCTGTTTTCTATTGCCTGGAAGACTTTTCTGATACTTATATTAATACCACAAATGACTCAGCTGCGATGATAATTATGTGCAATGCTACTTTCATCCTGCTAACAAACAGTAGCACCAGCAGCATATATGTGGCTGCCTATGCTGATTGTTCGTGCTATAGTTACTACAGTAAAAATTTCTGCGGGCAGGAAGCGTGAGCGTACTGGGTTGAAGTAGAAGCTGGGGAAGCATCATGGTGAAGGCAGAGATCAGGAGTGCTCAGGGTGAAAGGGCAGATCAGGAACACTGAATAGTCAGAAGAAATGACCGTGCCTGTTAAGGTGATCATGTTCTTATTTCTAAATAGCAGGCAGGTATGTGTGACTTAAACGGTCACAGAATGCGTGTGCGCATATTGCTGATCCTCTTGAGTTGCTTGTTATCTTCAGGTGTGCGGATAACTGCACCCTGCAGCCGTTCGCTTCCTCCCAGTTACAGGTCTGAAATGGGGGCAGGGGGGTTCCTAAAAGGAAAGAAGTAGTTGCCTTTAGAGCCCAAATTGGGCTTGGCTTTGTGGTGAAACTTCTGTAAAATCAATGTATTGAGGACGACAGACCATCCCTGAACGAATCTGAAATGCCTAAATGCAGAATTGAAATAAAGGGGACAGAACATGGCTTGGTTTTTCAGGTTGTGAATAAATCCTAACAATAAAATGCTGTGTTTGTATATTCTTTTTTTTTAATCTAAGTAGTTTGTTTTGCCATTTTAAAGCTTTTCTACAGTTGGAGAAGAAGGAACAACAAAAAATAACCATTGATCCGCCATCTAAAGGATCAAGGAAAAATTACTCTTTCACAAATGAAGAAGTAAGACAAATTGATCGGGAAAACCAAAGGCTGTTGAGAGAACTGTCCAGACAGTCTGCAAAGCCGAGAAGCAGAAGTACCACTTTGAAGAAAGCGGCTGTTCCACCCCCTAAGTTGTACCACAGCGCCCTCAACAGGCAGAAGGAACAGCAGAGGATCGAAAGAGAAAACCTGGTAAGTTTTGGGCGGTTTTAGATCAGTAAATTGAGCTCTGTTCTATGCCGGATGAGTCACTACATACTTACAAAAGGCTGTACGGCAGCACTTGTAGCTTTACTGCGAGTGAGTCTGAAATTACTGTGTTTGATCTAGCCATGCCATGAATTTCCACCACTATGCCATTTGAGTAGTTACACTGTTCATATGGTGTGTGTGGTTTTGTTGTTGTTTTTTTAATGACTTTTTTTTGCAGGTGAAAACAGAGTTTACTTTTTACAAGTTTGCTGTACCTCAGTATCATTCTATTTAAGAAGAAAGGCCCCTCTTGTTAATATGCTCATAGCTTTCCGTAGCAGTCTTAACTCTGACCCTCGTTCAGGCATCACGATCACCTGTCTCTTAAGAATGGGCTCGCAAAAAAATAAAGCAATCAATATGATAGCATCGAACGAACCCATCATATTTGAAACACAATGTGGTGTACAATGTGCATGTGAATTTTGTTTCTGAGTCATTTTATAGCTAGCCATCGCTTTCAATATTTATAGCTCTCTGCTTGACACTTTGTTTGAATATACTTAGCAATCACAATCACTTATTTTAGTGACAAACAGAAGCCAGGCTCATTCAAAGAGTGATGCTGGCAGAGTTGTCAAATGACAAAAATAAAACTGTTTTGAATAAGTTATTTTTAGTGATAGAATTGTATTACAGATGATGACATTTTCACATTTCCTAGTTGTTCTTTAATGTATTTGAAAAGGAGGTAAAATATGTCTAAAAATATTTGGAAAAGTTATCCTGGAAGTAATTTATCCACTTTCCCCCCCCCCCCCCCCCCAGTCTAAGTGTTGGTTGAAGTTTCCTTATCTATGTGGATTCAATGTGAAGAAGATCTGGTTGTCCACTTTTGGAAAATACATTACTTTTTAATTCTTCCAGCTCTCAGACATCTAGGCTGCTAAAACTTTTTTCAAAGTAGGAAACTTTCTTGCCCAACTCCACTGGAGTACAGTCTACCAAAAGAACGTTATTTTTCACACTTTAAATAGTTTAATAAAAAGGAGAAAAGACAGCAGAATATCATATCAGATTGTGAACCATTGTGAGAAATAATTTCAGAAAAGTTATAATCTGGAGCTAAAAGAGGACCTTGCAAAAATTCTTAGATAAAGGGAGATTTCTGTAGATATACCAGGGTGTATTTTGCTTATTTACCTCTTTCCATGCCCTTGTCAGTCTGGATTTTGTTGTGATGGGATGTTTTATTAGGTTATATTTGCAGTATTTTGAATTTTTTGTTTTACTTGAATTGAAAGAATTTGATATGAATATATGTTATAGATGTTTGTTCCATATTGTCTGGGGAAGAAATGTTTTTAGGCTTATGTGGCTTTAGCTAGTTTGTAAGGAGAATTTTCCCCACGTGCTGTGGGATGGTTTGTTTGTTTGTTTGTTTGTTTGTTTTTAAAGATGTTGAAAGCAGGACTTGCTCTTTCACATGGACTTTCCTCATAAGAGTATAGAGTTAGGCAGCAAAAAGGAAGTGCTGTGTCACTTGCCATCTAGTAGTAATATATTGTTATGTAATATAGCATATTAGATAGTTATTATAATATCAACGTATACAATAACTTATGATAAACTTCTCTTTACTCAAGTCCTTAAGCCCCTTCTCTTCAATATGTTGTAATGTTTTATCCAACAATGTCTTGCCTTTGCAAGGATCAAAAATTTTTTTTGGATCAAAAATTCAGCAGTTGGTCATTTCACGTGTTGCTGTTTTAATACATGTTAGAGATTAGTAGTGACTGCTTGAAGTCCAAGAATTAATAACCTTCAGTTACTTATTCATTCATGCTTTAGTTATTAGGCATTTACTACAGAAACATGGGTGGAAACTTTTGACTTCAAAGTAATTTCTTAGCATTTATGTTACAACATCATGCTATTTTAGACTATAAAGAAATTTGGTCTATTCCGTGCTCAAATGCGCGATGATATCTTTTGCTGTCTTCTCTTCAGAAGAGTGGTTCACTAGAACATCTCTTATGGTCTTCTAACGTTTCGTTCCTCTTTGAGCAATTCTGTATACTTATTTATTCTGTTTGAAATGTATGTGCACCCAGAGCATCACAGCTGTAACATATTCATCTTGTGGCAGTACCTGCTGAGATTATGGGTATGACATGCTTCTCTCAGAGACTAAATGAAGGAGCTGCCCTGCCCTGTACATTCATCAGGGTTTTTGTGTGTGTTACATAGCTAAAAGTATATGCTTTACAGTTTTGGGGTTTTGTTTTGTTTTGTTCTAGTCAGCAGCTTTTTTCATCTTTGTAAATTAGAGCTGGAATTCCATCAAACTTCCTTATCAATGTTTCTTTTATTTCTTGGTAAGTTGTTTTTTTGTTGTTGTTTTTTTATGCAAGACCTGAGGTACCTGATACTTACCTTTAAAGGCCTGTATCTCTGGCTGTTTGTCAAGGATAGCTGTGCTCAGAGTGATCCCTGGATATGCTGGTTGATACAGCTGTGCAAAACATTAGTTGTAGAAAGATGCAGGTTTCTACAAATAATTTGGAAAGAAAAATCTACAGTCTGAGGAACCCCAGCTTGCAGGGATCTTCTTGAATAGTCTGTGCTATCTTCCATGTCCAGTCATTCCACAGTGGAGATGCTGGACTTTACCTCTGCTGGCAGAGCTGCGTTAATGTCATGTAGTTTATTCCCCTCGACGAGCTACTTGGATTAATCCTCTGCTGAGAGGAGAAAAGGTTTTCTCAGCCACCTGGACCTTTCACAAGATGTCCTTCTATGACCCCTTCAATCTCAACTTACTGTTAATGCTCCAGAAAAGTTTCTCAGACTCTAGAAAAGTCTTTATGCCTAGAGATGACACTCAGACAAGCTTAGTATTAAGTGCTCTTGTCCCTTCCTGTCCCCTTCCTCCCGTTCTGTCCATAGAGTGTATCTGTCTATAGAGATAGACTGGTTATCCTGTAGCCTGTGCAGAGAGAATGCAAAGTCAGATAGTTTAACAGCAGAGATTTCTCCTATTGGATTATAGCTTTTATAATTTCTTGTCCTCTGGTTAACACCTTCTCTAGGGAAAACTTTCAGTTGCTCCACTAGAGCGTTCTTGGAGCAATGCCTATATTTACTGTTTGCATGAAAGCAGCTTGGTTTCTCTGCATCTGAAGCTGATGCAGAGAAAGTAATTCAGGTACTAGGAAGTTAGAGAGGAATCATAGTGGTTTGGTTCTCTAGCTTTGTGAAAAGGCACAAGGAAGTACAGGGAACATATGTTCCCCTTGCAGACTATTAGAGAGAGCCGTGGTGGATTAGAAAGATATATTGCTCTGAGGAACAGCAGTTACAGTGTGGTGAGTAGGAATTTGCGGAAAAAATACAATCGGCAAAAGAGATTGTCATTAAAATTAATGGCAGATTTTTCCACTTGCTGCTTTTGACTGTGTGCTTTCATAAGGGGAATCTGTTCTTGATTGCTTATGCAAGTTAGCTAGGCAAAGAGCCTGGCTCTTGCCAATAGAGGATGCTGTTGATTCTGAAAACAGTCTGCTCTTGTGTTTGAAGATACTCTCTGCCCCACCTCCCCTCCAGTGGAAAGGGACATAAGTGAGACTGATGCATTGCTTTTTTCCAGTGTCTGCAGATATGTGTTTCTATCTATACTGACACATTAATTACAGTATTTGCCAGCATAGATAAAATACTCAGCTTCCATTTTATAGACTGGGAACAACTTGTGATCTGAACTGTAGAATCTGTAAAATCTGGGTTGCTATACATGGATGACCATGAAATACAGATTTGCAGCCACCATCTTATTCCTCAATCACTTCATCACAACATAAAGTAATTCTAGCCATGTGTTGCTTAAAATAAGTAAATATATAAGTGTATGTGTATATGTACCTACACACACACAAACACACAGAGGTGTATATATGCATATGACATGGGTTTAAGTGTTAGGTGACCTTAGTGAGCTAAGCTGCTGTGCTGTGTTCTCTGCAGTTTACATTGAAAGTTCACTGGGAAACATCAACTGGTCTAGGACAGCAATTCTCAAAGCTTAGTTCGAGGGGGATGGGGATGTTCTTTTCTGTGATAGTTTGGCTTTTCCACGCAATCCTGTACTTTCCTTCCACCCTATGCTGTTATGCTTCGCTGCACATAATGATCGATATCATTCATTCCTCCCCGCCTCATACTCACAGAATCACAGGGTACTCCCCCAACATGTACCCTAAGCTCCAGCAGATCTAACTCTGGTCTCAGTTTCAGTATAGTCACCCTCTCTCCCCAATCTCCAAATCACCTAGTGCACTTCTCTGCAGGGGCCATCTTCCCTTTCCACCTGCTTGGCTCCCCAAGTCTACTGTTAGAGTCCCCTGCGCTGCACGTGCTGTTAAGGTTTTCCCCCACTACCTCTGGTCCGACTTCTACCAGCATAGAGATCCTCCAGCCAAACCGCTTCCCTTCTCCTGCAGTCTGGCCTGCCGTGGTCTTGCTGGAAAACCTGAACTTCCTTTGGAAGAGGAAGTGTCCTTCAGCCACCCTAATGTGTGCATTTGGCTCCGCTTGGTTTAACGTGCTGATGGCACGTTGGCTTGGTTTAACGCGCTTGGTTTAACGTGCAGTAAGGGGGTGGGAAGAAAAGAACGAAGGAGAGTTTGTGCCTCTGGTCATCCATCTAACCAGCTGCCGCCACCCACCCACACAATATATCTTGGCTTGAGCCGTAGCCTTCACTCCGATACTACGTTGCACCGCACTTCTCACGCGAGCCACCTCGCGCTGCTCCCAGAGAGGAGATAGCTGCTGGGGCTGGGAAAGAAACAGGAGAGGGAGGGTGCTGGCACAGTGGGGTTGTGCTTGGGCTCTTCTCACCTTCCTTCCACCACCTGTTCTGTGCTGCCTTTCTTCTGCCTTCGCTTTCTCCCTTCCCCAGGAACTGTCCCCACGTCGGCAAGCTTTATGCCTCAGTTGCTGTGCACGCTTATGTGGCTGTGGGATGAACACCAAGGTTGTTCTGCCTTTCTGGCCTCAGTCTGGAGGAGGAAGCTGCAGGGAATGCAGTTGTAAAAGAGAATGTAGTCTTCTGGGACTTCTTGGGAGCTCAGAAATACTGGTGTTGGGTTGGTGGCTCCTTGGAAGCTCAGGTAGCCAGGGCTTTATAAAATATTTTCATTTACTGGGTTCAAAAAGTAACACAAAATGTCACTAGTTCCCAGGATGACAAAGTCCAGTACAAGGACAGAGTGCTGTTGCCACGGTCCTCTTGTCACAGGAAGCCGTCAGAGTTTTGGATTGGTGCACGGACATGCCTGCCTGAAATATACTGCAGTATAATGCCAGTGTAGTACAGTTGTGCAATCATAGTACTTAGGCTATAGGCTTTTCGTAGATGGATCTTTTCTGGTCTGCCGGTTCCTGACCGAGGCTTGAGACTCCCGAACATTGCTCTAGAAATTATGATGCGGACTGACTAATTGCCAGGTTAAAGGAAAACTTTGGTTATTCAGCACGCTGCTCAGTTTTCTGGTTGGTTGTACTCTCAGCTTGCTTTCTGTGGATGCCAGTCACACGTAAATATGACAGGTGTTCAGTTAAAAAGACTTTTCTGTAGATTGAAGAACTTTAAGGATTTTTGTTGACGTTTGGAGCTTGTCAGCCTAGACCTAATTAATGCAGCTGGCAATTGAAGAAAGTTACAAATCCCTGTGCAGGCAAGAACAGAAAGGTGTCCTTGAATGCACTATTATCTTCTTCCCCTACCCCCCCCCCACCTGAACTCTGCAAAGGGACAGTGTGGTCACTCTAATATGAGTGACATTAGAGGAGGCGCAGTAAAAATAAGTTTGAACAGCTGTCAAGGCACACCAGTCAGCTGGCTAGGATTCAGAGGAGGTGGAATTGAAGTCTTCATGCATTTGAAAAGCAAAGTAAAAGGAAGAAAAGTAACAGTTGTTACCTTCGCTCTGAAATGAATTTGGGAGGGCCACATTTTTCAATCTATGTTTGTTTGTTTTCTTTCTTTTCAAAAAGCTAACTTTTTTTTCTTTGACAAAGAGAACTAGGGTCAGGTTTAGTGCTCTCCTGATAAGCCAACACTTGAACTAACAGCGTTTATCTTAGCCTGCCATATAGTACACCAATCCTTTAATGAGGTGTCCTGTTCCTTTGTTCTCCAATTGTTGGTAATATCACATTTGCTTCAGTTATTGGCAACGTATATGTTAGTGTCTTTATAGAGAACAACCACATAGACAACAACTTTATGGATGCTAGATGTCTAGATTTATAAAGAATTATCCTATTCTTAGAGGTTAATTATGCAGGAACAGTGTCTGTGTGGGGTTTTTCTGTTTGTATTCTGCTTCTATTGTAAACTCGGTAGCTTAATAAAAGATGGGAGGGGAATAGAAGCCTTGGGAGGCTTTGGCCAAACTGGGAGATTATCAGTGATATGACAGGGTTTTTTTTTTGTGTGTGGTGTTTTATTTTTTTTTGTCTCGGTTTTTTCATGGCAGAGGAGAAAACAGTTGTGAAAATCATTCATTTACTGAATGCTAATGCAGTCTTGCTGAGCTTGAATCAACTAAGCAGTTACAACATAATGAAGAGCAACTAATGTCGTTGCTGCAATTTGTGCATTTGTTGTTCATTTTTCTCCTTAAACGTGATCAGGAACATGTCTGATTCCGAACACTGGGATTATATTACGTGACCTGATTCTTCAGTCATTAAGGCCAATGACAAAGTTTCTACAAGATTAAGGCTAAAGAGAATTAGCACTTGAACAAGGAAAGTGGCAATATTCTTCAATCCGTTTCTCAAGATGCTGTTTCAAGGAGAGCATAATCAAAGAATTGGCAAATTTAAATGTGTAACTGAAAAATATTTTAACACTGTTGTACAAGGGAGTTCAGTTAAGTATTGTAAGATTAAAGTGTTTTTAATAAGAATGTAAGAACCAGATCAGTTCTGAGTTATGGATTTAATAGGTAAGAACTGACATTTCAGTGTGTTGATGAGTTCATTTCTGAGTGCAGTAGGCTGTTCTTCAAATTACAAAATTCTTAACTGCAAATAGCATACAAGTTAACGTGCCCTTGGTGCAATTCTCAGCAGAGAATAAGCAAAACTGTCTTCTCCTTTAGAAGAGATTTTCTTAGAATAGTGATGGGAACACTTTTGTACCACATAATATATTTCTGCTCCCTTCATAACTAAGGATTGTATAATACCCAGTGTTAATCTGCCTTAAAAGTAATGAAGAGAGGTCTTTTTTTGCTTTAATAATAGGGATTTGATGCTTGTTATATTACAGGCATAAAAGTAAAAGCAGAGAATTGCTTTTAAACCAGAATAAAATGGGCATATACAAATATGCATGTTAGGAATCAAGCCTGAAATTACTGCGATATTATGGTATGTAAATTATATGGAACTGTTGCAGTTGGACTTCCACAGGAAGAGAACGTCACTTCTATAATTTAGCTCTCTATTCGTGATGACGCTAAGTATTTTGAAAGGTTCTATTTTTGATGTTGGAGGTAAATCAAAGTGATATTTGTAAACCTGAATGTATGTAGTTGTATTAGGACGTGGTGTTGAAGCTGTATGTAAAACGTTAGATGTAACATTTAGAGACAAGTCTACCATTTCATGTTCTGCAACTAGCTTTAGCGAAGAGCTATTTCTGGCTGAAGTCCTTCCTTTGACTTTTGCTTACTTAGGTATTTCCACTTGACGATGAACTGACTGGCACTTGATGCAAGCACATGTGACATACTACGTCAGAGCCGAAAGGATTTGTCCTTTCTTTCTTGCACTCTGTGTAGGTTTCCAGTGCCCGTGCATGAACTGTGGAAAGTTTGTAGACTCCTGTTACAGCTAGGCAGTGACAACTGACATCTGGTGAATACCGTACTGTTTCTCAAATCACTTTCTGACAAATTTATTATTCCTCAAAAAAAGCAAATCATAACCCAAGGAAGGGGGGAAAGAGCGATCATTTCAAAGTTTGGCTGTACAGATTCTCGACTTTTACCATGTATGTACCTAGCTAATACATCCTTATTAACAGAGCTATTTTTGGACTTGAGCGACTTGTGTAATTGCAGTTTGCATTGTCTCTCATTGACAGGATGCATGTCATAACCCTGATCAATGATGGTTGCCTCATTGCCAAAAGTTGCTAGGTCATCAAGCCTGACATTAGATAGCTGAGGGAACAGCAAACACTGGAGGCCAAATACATGAAAAATGTTGTTTTTAATTGTAGGTTGCATGCAACTGCGTCCTTCCTAATTTACCTTGCCATCGAATTTATTTTTATAACGTTAGGGAAACTTCTTAAATCAATGCATCCTGTCTCAAGTGAAAATAGTTGTAAAGGATGGGGAAACTGTATCTTACAAATACTGTGTAAGTAACGGTTCTGATTTAATGCTGGCTGCATGGTTGTGGGGTTAATTTCAACGAGAGGGAAAAATATCTAGAACAATAATTTCTGCTAGAACAATAATTTCTGCTAGAATCTCTTAAAATTACTCTAAGAATAACACAAATATCAGTGTCAAATGGGTGTTTGTGCTTTCCTTTTGACACTATTTTCACAGAATTGAGGTCAGTAGTTCTCTCTGGGGACCCTGTAGGGTGATGTAAAATGGTCTAAGTACGTTTGCAAAGTGCAGATTAAAAAAATCTTCCTATCATCCCTGAAATTTGACTCTAGAAGAAGAGAGGAGAAACCAAGGCTAGGACTAGAAGTGAGCAGCACGTATTCCTGCCATCTCCTGCCATCTTCACTGAACAGATGTGTAGATTTGAGTCATCATAAAGTACAGAGAAATATGGGGCACTCAAGATGTACTCAGCATAGAACAGATGATGTACAGTGGCTACATACTACTTGTGTCTTATTATAGCAGTATAAAAAGAATTGGACGTGAGCAAAATAGCATTTGCTGGTCACCAGTGACATTGTTTATGCTGATTGCAGGGAGATGAGCAATGTTTAAAAACTTATTTTCTCAGTACAAATAAAAATAATTTTGTAAATGTTTATTTTGCAGCTTCTTGTTTATTTTTTTTTCTTCTTGATGATATTTTCTTTCATATTAAGGCTTTTCTGAAGAGACTGGAAGCAGTGAAACCAACAGCTGGTATGAAGCGTTCTGAACAACTGATGGACTATCAGCGCCAGATGAGTTATCTAAGTTCTTCACCATCTACAAGAAGAGGGAAGTCTGCCTTCAGCCAGCTTAGCCCTTCAAGTAAGTACTTTGAGGTTGGAGATTCTTGTGTTTCTATGCATGTGTTTCTCTTTCTTTTTACAATTCAAAATTGTGAAGCAGTTATTGCTAAGAGTAGTAAATAAGTTCCTTTCTCCATCTTCCTTAGATTAATGGCTTATCACACAGAAACCAATAAAGTGATTTCTTTTTTTAATCATACCAAAATCATGATGGATATATCACTTGTTTATTTACCATTTTAAATTTCTAATAAGTCATGCTGTTAGTAATCTTTGCCACTAAGGTTAAAAAATCACTACTGTAGAGAAGCATTTCTCAATTCACTACTACTCTTTATCAAAAGGAGAAAGAAAAAAAAGAAAAAGGAAAAAATCCTTATTTAGCAAATGTAAAGTCTACTAACAGTAGACTTGCTTCTCTTAGAAATTTGTTGTGTAACCTTTGGAAGTAGATCATGGGTCCTCAGGGACCTGTACAGGTCAGATTAAGAACCACTGCACTGTGCTTGAATTTATTGTCCCAACCATTTACAAACAATTCATAACACTTTGGTTTTGTGTTTAACCTACTGTGATTTTTTTTTTTTTTCCTTCCTCAAAACTATGGTAATGAGTATTATAGTAATCATATAGCATGAAGTTGCCTGTTGTGCCCAACGTGAATATTCTTTCTTTTTTTGTGTGTGTGTGTTAACAGGAGGCACTTCAAGGGCATCCAGTGTACCAAGTGCAGTGAGCCATAGGAATGAAAAACCTGTGTCCGATTCACCCACTGGGGCATTACAGAGACCTAAACCCACTAACGTTCGTGCTGCTTGGTTATAAGTCTTTTTTGCTTCACTTTTGATCCCGAGATCTCTATTTCTAGTGCTTTTGTAATTCTCTGTGCAAGAATCTTCTCTGCGTTGTTTGGTGATTAAAATGCATTGCACATGAAATAATTGCTTATAAAATGGTTTTAAATGAACTTTCTCACTTTAACCTGTGTTTTCTGTGTAAAGTATTTATGAAAGAGAATGAGGTATTTAAACAGAGAAATGAAATAGAAATTTCTAAATATTATTTTATTCTCAAATTGTAAGTGGAATTTGTATCCATGAAGGGGAAGAATGGAATTGTTGCACTATGGACACAAGATGTAAAGAAAATCTTTAAAAAAAGAAAAGTTATTTTTTAAATTGTGTTAAACTTGTAGGAGTATGCTTAATTCCTATATTGTCCTTGCTTTTCATCCTTGCTTTAGGTAAGCCTTCAGGACTCTATAGGACATGTTCTTATGGCTGAGAGAAGCTCCTTTTTTACAGCAGCATGAAGTGGGGAAAAGCAGATTTTGTATTACTGTATGGTTAGCTAGAATATTGAGGCAGCAGAAAATGTTGTGGTGCCACTATTGCAGATCATTCCAGGTGAGGAGCATTTGTTTTGTGCTCAAGGCTGCATCTCTTCCAGATTTAAAAGAACTTGGGAAGTTGTATTAGGACCTTTGTGCAGGAAAGAAGCATCTGATGTTATATGAACACCAGCGGGGGAAAAGATTGAAGTGAACATCAGTTTACAATTCACTTTAAACAAGCATAAGTTCTAGATGTTTCTCAAGCTGGAGAATAGTGAGCAAGGAAAGTATTTCATGGCCCTGCTTTCCCAAATCGTTGTCCTTCTCAGCTGAGAGGTAGGAACCTGAGCTGCGGGAAACTTGAACATCTGATTTGAGAGCAACGGTTAACTAGGATTAAAAAAAAAAAAGTAGTAGAAAATAATAAACTGAACTGAAATAAAATTTTAAGTTATGCTCCCTAACCTATCTTTTTAATGTTTATGTTTGTACGAAATATTTGAGGTAGTGTCGGGTAGGCTTCAGTATCAACTTCCGTTTATAAGAGGTGTAAATTTAATGGAATTGGTAATAGCAAATAGTAGGTGATATGCTTTATTTCTATATATAAATGCAAGGTTCCAGTGAGCTTATTTTGTAGGCCCTTAGTCTTATAAAAAGCATAAATGGTGATGCTCCTATCCATGGATATTGCTGGATTCCTGCTTGCTTCCCCAGCTTCTTCCCGGGAGAGATACAGGAAATATCTTTGTATTATGCATAAAGAAAAAAGAAAAGCTGTATTCAGTAATGCTGGGCCTTAGCCCTACAAAAAGGAAAGTTTATTTTACTTGCTCGTGCTTGCATAAGGGCTTAGGCTTGGAGGTATTTTGTATTGTAACAAACATATTTGTCACTTGGTCCTGTATGATAATTTGGCAGAGCTTCTGCACCTGTTAGCCTGATCAAATGTAGCTGTTTAACAATATTTGACAATTTTTTTCATCTGCAAGCAGCATTGTGGCAAACAGATTTTTTTTTTTGCGATTATTATTCATTGATAGGGACTATATAGCATTTTTTGCATAGTGCTGCTGTAATTATTTGTACTACTGTGCTTAATAAAATTATTCACTATTTAAAGATTTTTGTCCTTGAATGTGACTATCAGGGTCATGCTTTAAATACTTTTAAATATTTGTATGATAATTCTTTTCTGTGAAGAAATTCACAGAATGGATTACTTTCAATCACCTCATCTTATTTTATTTAACTTTGGTATGGAAGAATGTCAATTTTGTATGTCACTTTTTTGTAAATTGTAAGAAATAAAATATTTAACATGAAATATGTTTGTCATTGCATTGGCTTCTTATGGAATTTTATATTTGATATTAAATTGAAAAGGATGTGGTGGGAGAAATGTTTCCTACTAGATGTAGTGGAAGAAAACACAAAGAATCAGTTTATTAATTGATGCATTTTACCTTTTTGTGGCTTTCATTTGTTTTTTTTTCTTTTAACAAGCTATATTGGCAGGTCTTCATCAAGTTAAAGGGAAATTACGTTTCCAACTGCCAAATCTATTAAGCTTTTAAACAGAAGGCAGCCATCAAGAGGTAAATTTTATCTGTTCAATTTCCCTTCATTCCTTGGCAGAAGTATATTTACTAATAAAATCTTTTAGGTTGCTGCAGAGGGTTTTTCTATACTAAACTCTTCAGCTATGATGACACAGACATCTGTTTAAGATCAGCAGTTAAAAACCATCTCATTATGGTAATTTTCTCATAGCAACAAAATCTTACTTCTAATAGACTTATTTTCTTTCCATTTTTCGTTGTAAGCTGTCGTTTAATGTTCTTTTCTCCCATTTTTCCCTCCAGAAGATCTCTTCAAAATGAAGTTAGGAGCTGCTTCCCTTCCTCCTCAAAATGAACCTCCTCACGCTGGTTTGATGCACAGTCTGAGGTAGGAACCCATCTCCCTACTGAAGTGGCAGGATCACTAGTTTTCATGACAGTACTGGAGCATGCTGTTAATCATGCTGTGAGAAATGGACTACGATGCCTCTGTCCTGTTCTTGCTCTGGAGGTGTCCGTGCTTCACTGTGGGCTGTACTCCTTCCAGGACAGGGTTCTGCTGTACAATCTTCCTACAACACAAAGGTCTTAATGAAGGTCTTATCTCAGGACCTTGTTCGTATAAGGAGAAGGACTGATGATATATCCCTGCCTGAACTGCTGAAATTTGAAGGCACTTTCCCACAGACTCCTGAGTCGTTTAGAATTCACCTTTAGTTCCAGATAATCCGAGAGACTCGAGGTAAATTGGAAGAGTTGGACAAGGCCATTAATCAGGTGGAGCGTGTAGACATTCCCCTGTCCCAGAGCCTGTCCTAAATCAGATTGCTTGCGGCCTTTACTGAAGATCCTGGGACATGTTTGCTGTCATCCTATCACTCAGATGAGGGTTCGTCTCATTGATTGTCCTAAAGCAAATTGCTAAGTACGTTCATAGGATATTGTCTATGATAGATGCAGACACAACTTTGGACTGTATTATCCTGACTGTCATCAAATGAGCTTCAGGATAACCCCCTATAAAAGCCTGAGATTCTTCTCCTAACAGATCACAGATTTTGTGCTTTCCCTTGGAGCACTGTCTGCTCAGCAGTGTGGTGGAGATGAGGGCAGTAAGTATTACTTACCAAGCCTTCTAGCTGCAGAGTGAGGACTGTCATACTCAGGTGATGATGAATAATTCCACTATGACATTCTATATCAACAAGCCAAATCATGAGGAAAAAATGGCTCCTTTTATATTGAAGTAGTTAATCATCTTAAGAATCTGGTACACTGAGCATCAGATGCAGTCTTTTTGGTTTTCATCTCTTCAAAGTCTTGAGCAACATAGTGGACAAACCATGTCATTTCAACCTTGATAAGTAAGGAATATGGATCTATACCTGGAGAGCCATCTGCCAGGACTGACGTTATGCTGGGGTCAGCTTCTTGTTTCGGATATCTGCAGAGTTCATTAATACTTCTGTTACAGAGCTGGTTTGTCTTCAGGATGCATGGTTCTAAAACCTTGATTTACAAAAAAAATAAAATCTTTGCCTCCCTCAAAATAAGACAAGATTTCAAGATTTGGCAGTAGTGATTCTTGTAGCCATATCACTTCTGATCCCAGGATCAGCTGTGTTACTCAGTGCAGAGTCCTAAAATACTATTCTGCATGAGTTTGTTCCAAGCTCTGATCAGGTACAAAAAAAAAATCACAGATCTCAGCTCTGTCCACACAGCGGCTCTTAGGACTAGCATGTGTTATTGAGAGTTTTTGTTTGCTTAAGTGAAAAGGACTTCCAAAAGTGAAGCCAGGTGCTGTGATTTGCAGCCTGGGGCAGTAAGTAGGGGATTCTGCTTTGTTGCTCCTCTCCCTGATATCCTAGATTATCCAGTGCGACTCAATCCTGGTAAACCGTAACTATGCTCTCCTACAGATTCTTCAGGTTTTTGAACGACTTTTAGCAATTCTTCTTTCCTTGCGTCAAGGATGTTGCCCCTCTACCTATCTGGTTTTTGATGCACTGATGGCTGCTTCTTCCCTAAAGAGTGTAGGAAAAGAGCGGTGGAGGCTTTGACCTTAACCAGAAAGGCAGGGAAGATTATCTGTCACGGATTCTTCCCCTCCCACTCCCTGTGGTATGCTATGCTCTCTAGAGACAGAGTTATCTTTCAGACCCACCTGAAGTTCCTAACTTCATCTCAGCCAAAAGATGAGTGTGCCTCATTTCCCTCCCCAGGTAGTGTGCTTCCAGAGCTGGGCAGCACAGCATGTACTGGATAGTAGGTTGGCTTTGTCTTTCTAAATTACCAGGGTGTACTACCAGACTATTCAGGACAGGCTATCTTGTGTTCAGGTCTCTCTGAGAGATATAAAGGGCCAGTGCTTTTGATGCAGAGAGGTTCACTGAGTAACTGCCTATGAGGATCTCTCAAAAAAGCACAGAAGTATCAGGGCAGGAGCAGCAATTTTCTGTGACAACCAGAGCCCACTCCAGGGGAGTTCAAGGAGCAGCTATAGCTTATTTGCAAAATCTTGTATTTTTCAGACTTGCAGAGATGATGGCTGGATTTTAGTTTATGCTTTCAGCAAGCTCTCTGCTGAGTGCCATGGCCTCAGTGCAATGCTGCTTTCAGGATAATAGTTATTTAATTAACAGCTTTGGACTCGTACCCAGCTAAACGGATCTTTGTGGAGAACACTGCCCGGAGTCTGCCACAGTGTAGGTAAGCAATTAATTAGAAATGAAGAACTATTTACCTGGAAGTATTCTTCAGAATGGGTTATTTCATGAACTCTCTCTTCCCCTAGTTGAACTTTCCAGCATTGATCCTTCCTGCTCTCATTTGTAATAGTTTTCACTCCCTCTTTGCTACTGTCTTTTTCCTTCTGGTATATAGTAACTGCTTTCACTCATCTGAAGTTTCTTTTGCTTCCTCTTAAGTTCCTTATTCTTACTCATTCACATGCATAATTCCCCCTGAGGTTTGATACTTATGTGTATTACAATCTGCCATTGTTTTTGGCATATTTGTAGTAAACTAGGACCTCCTCTAAAACATGTAAAAGCAAGCTGTTCAGAGAGGTAGATGTGAAATGAATAGTAAATAACTATAGTGTGTTAGCAGGCTTCTTTATGTAGCTTGACCTGGCCTCTTAAGGGACTACGGGGAATTGGGGGGGGAGGGGGGCGGAAGGGGAAGGGGAAGCAGGAAGAGAAAGGTTTCTAACCTTTAAGAAGCAACTTGAAAAACAGTAGGAAGAGGTTTTCTTCAGATTCTTATAGTTCATTAAGTTACAGCCCTGGTTTGTTGTTGCTGGGAAGAAAACAGACCAGGTGTCTAGAGAAGCAAGCGTTTAGGTAGTGACTAGAAGAGAAGAGAAATGAAAGGACCAGACAAGACTTGAAAAGGTAATATTCCTCATGAAGGAGAGGAAAGAAAAGAAAAAAAAAGGGGGAACAAGAACATGCTTGGGAGTTCAAGGAAAAGGCTGTCTCCCAAAGCCAAGTAGTACTGGGGTTTAAGGAAGGAAGCTTAAACGTACCAGACCTCATCCAACATGCACGCTTCCTTGGCATAGACAAGCAAAGTGAGGGGTGCTAACGTAGGTAATCTCAAAACCTCTTTCATCTTAGGACTCATTTTCTCTGAAACACTTCTGTTTTCAGGTGAATATATGCTGCTGTAGCTACTGTTTCAGTAGCCTGCCCCTACCTTTATGGAGAGGAGATCTGCTGATCTGAACATAGAGCAGGCACACTTGGATCATCATCTTAACTGACAGGGAGCTGGGAATGCCTGCATCTGTCAAGAAATTAATTGTAAATAACCAAAAAGGGATTACTTGAAACCAAAGTAACAGAACTTGAAGAGCCAGAAACTCAGTTTTTGGGCTCAGGGTTGCTCTGAGCCGTTCCCTTTCTTGCTGCTCACAGAAGTAGTTAATCTAAAGATTCTCTCCTCATCTACATACTCACTTAAGAAAAAAGTCATAGAATAAATGCATTCCTGGACCATGAGAGAGCAACTGGAGTTCCATGATTGTAGTCCTGCAACAGTCATGCAATTTAATCAAGATACCATCCACAAATACACTCTTTTGGGGAGACTTGTTCCATTTACTCTCTAAAGACAGGTTCTTCCACAACTTGCTTCTTGCAAAGTGAACTGCTCCAGCAATGCTCAGGGAACAGGTGTCAGGAAAAGGCAGCTTACAGAGGGGATGGCACCTGCCAGAATACCTCATTTTAAGCCACAATAGCCTCTTCACTAGGGTAATAGTGCTGTCATTAACTGTACTAGCCCAGACATCATCTACCCTGAGGTTTATATCTCAATGTGGAAAGTGCCAGCTATTCAAGTAACTAGTCTTTTACCTTCAAATACATCTAGTACAAGTCCAACACCTATGTTCCTGTGCTTTGTTTATGCCCCTTGCCCAGGGCACTACAGGTGACACTGGACAATCCAGAACTCTTGTCAAAATCCACATGAGCCACTGAGTGCCTAACTTCTGCATACAAAGAGGTAAAAAAAACAGTTGAAACAAGAGGTCATTTGGGTATTACTTGCATAGTGATACAGTTAAATACTCTTTTCTGTTTTAAGTCTAACCACTTTCCCTAGGTGGAGGCACAGCAAGCATATTTGTTTGCTTATATACAGTTTAACTGAACCACTGAAATAGGCACAACCCTCTTTCCATCACTTGCCCAACTAGGGAGCCTATCAGTCAGTTTACAAGTATACAATATCTGAAGTTTAAGGCTTTTGCATTGAGCATCTTCTGATCTCATTAGTAATTAATAGCTCAACTACATTATTATTGGAGTAACTTAACTCAGAAGTACTGTTATAGACTACTTAAATAAGCATCACTAATTGCACTGTCAATTGAAAACACACTACACTTCAAGGTAGGGGTACTGTAAATGAACTATCACAGAGCACTAGTTTACTATGGGGACAACTTGCAACAGAACCTTAAGGTGAAAGGCTTCTTTGTTTTTGCTGTAGTAGAATTATCAGTACCTATTCCACCTCCTCCTTAAAGCTTTAACCAAAACATTTGAGTTAGGGAGTGCCAGACCATCATTAGTGTGCATCATTATTAGTGTGCACATCACCTTAAAGCACATGTAATTGCAATGTGTTGTGTATTGGAAACAACCAGAAAAAGTTTATTAATATATTAATTTATTTCATCATTTCAGTTAAAGTTCAATTGAACATCAGAGCAGAAAACTTTTCTCTTTGTGAAGATATAGGGCATTTCTGAAACATGGTATTTCTATCTTCCACAAAGTACATTTAAAAAACAATTAGGGCCTCAACCGCATGACTGCATAACTTGTCAGTGAAGGCAATGCAGTTAGGAACTCACAACCTGGGGCTTTAGTACAAGTTTGTATTTTCAAACATCCTTTTCACAAAATAGATTAAAACAATTCTGCTTTAGAAGACATGGTTTTAACCCATGTTTCGAATGCCATCATGCTGTTGGGGGGCTAGACATCACTTAGTACAATAGGTATTTAAATATGTCAAATTTATTAACATTGATATTAAACTAGGTGTAGAACATTTAACTCTTGTCTCTAGACAAGATGCATTACCTGATATTTGAAGGCATATATACACAGGTTCCAATACAAATGTTGGAAGAATTTTCATACAAAACGCCACTGTGATATAGTGGACAACTTAATGCATCCTCAGCACAACCAGATAGGCTCCTCAAATTCCATTCTCGTTTCCCTAGGAAATATTTTGTTGTCCATTACATCACAATAATGTGTTTTTAAAAAAGCTGATTGAGAACAATTGAACTACATGATGTTAGCTTTAGACATATTTCTTGATTTCATCATAAAGTACTAATACAAAAGCTCCACCCATGCCTCTCAACACATTTGACCAGGCACCTTTGAAGAATGCTTTGGCTCCTTCATCTTTAGCTATCTTCTTCCAGCAATCAATTGTGCCCTTGTACATAATATCCGCTGTGGAAACAGACAAATAGGTCAGAAGGTTTGGAGCTATACAGCAAGTCTGTTTCAACTTTGCTTGTCCCCACCCCCTCCTTTTAAGTATATCAAAAAACCCAAGAATTTGAAATTGAGCAATCCATTCATGAAAAGTCATTTTAACTCTTTACATGACAGTCAAAACAAATCAACTCACATTAAGTGGAGAAGACAGAAATAACTAGCAATACGTTTCCCAGAGATGTTTAAGGATTCCTACGAACGGGCCATTGGTTTCCCATAACAAAGAAAACCACATCTCTCCCATCACATCCTGCTGAAGAAATGCTTTCTGCTCCTGGGACACCACAGGAGCAGATTTACTCTTACCTCCCTTTCGGCCAGACTGCATCATCATCCTACGCCGCACAGTATCAAAAGGGTAGGATACCAGCCCTGCTACTGCAGTGACAGTCTGGGCAATCATCCAGCTCACTACAATATGCACATTCTTGGGATCAGGCAACATACCTATCAAGAACAAATTAAGAGAGTCAGTACAGAGAGAAAGGGTTACAAGAAAGATTGCTGAGGAGGGCATGGTCTCCCACCCACCCAGTCAAGTCAACAGGACTATGCCCACAACTTCTCCCTGCATCCATATCTGACTACTAATGGATGCTATGAGTAAAACAAATTTATAGTATTGCTGCATTTTGTGATCTAGAGCCTTCTTCATGCTCCTTGACCAAAAGGGCTCTCCTTATAGAGCTCTCCTAGGTTTGTGTCATGAACAAGCCCCCCCAGAAGCCAATTCGTACAACCCTTAAGAAAGGGGAAGAGGGCATAAACTGGCAAGCGCCTGAAAACACGCTGCAAACAGAGCTGCTGCTCAGAGCAGCAAGCTTACAGAGCCAGGAATGCATTTCAGAAACATCTGAGCATATTCCAGCACTGGCACCCTGAGCTGGTGCTGCGCCAAGCCCTGCTTGTCCTTGCAGGGCAGGGTGCCCTACAGTGTCTTTGCTGGTTGGATCCTTTCCTTGCAGTCACTTCTCCATCCGCCTCTTACCCTTGGCCGTGTCATAAACCCCAAAATAGGCCGCTCTGTAGATGATGATGCCCTGGACAGATACATTGAATCCTTGGTAGAGGCCCTTCAAGCCGTCAGACTTGAAGATCTTGACAATGCAGTTGCCCAGCCCAGTGAACTCCCTCTCGCTCGCCCCTTTGCCCACATCAGCCGCCAGCCGGGTCCTGGCAAAATCCAGCGGGTAGACGAAGCAGAGGGAGGTGGCTCCCGCAGCACCGCCGGATGCCAGGTTCCCTGCGAAGTAGCGCCAGAACTGCTTGTGCCTGTCCACTCCCCCAAGGAAGATCTGCTTGTACTTGTCCTTGAAGGCAAAGTTGAGGGCCTGGGTGGGGAAGTACCGGATGACATTGGCCAGGTTGCCCCTCCAGAAGGAGATGATGCCTTGCTCCTTGGGGATGCGGACTATACAGTCGATGATGCCCTTGTACTGCTTCTCGGCGGTGATCTGCTTGCTGGCGTGCTGCACCTGTGGGAAGCCAGACGAGGAGGGGGAGGGTGGAGAGGGGCACGGCAGGAGTTAGCAGCGCGCAACAGCC